AGGCTCGGGTCTGCGCCGTGTGTGTGTGTGTTCTACATAGGAGGCTCGGGTCTGCGCTGTGTGTGTGTGCATGTAGGAGGCTCGGGTCTGTGCCCTGTGTGTGTGTGTTCACATAGGAGGCTCGGGTCTGAACCATGTGTGTGTGCACATAGGAGGCTCAGGTCTGCGCCGTGTGTGTGTTCACACGGGAGGCTCGGGTCTGCGCCGTGTGTGTGTTCACATAGGCTCAGGTTTGCACTGGGTGTGTGTGCACATGCATGTAGGAGGCTTGGGTCTGTATTGTGTGTGTGTGTTCACATAGGAGGCTCAGGTTTGCACCATGTATGTGTGTGTTCACACAGGAGGCTCAGGTCTGCTGTGTGTGTGTGTACACGTAGGAGGCTCAGGTCTGCACCATGTATGTGTATGTGTGTGTTCACATAGGAGGCTCAGGTTTGCACCATGTGTGTGCGTGTGTGTGTTCACATAGGAGGCTCAGGTCTGTGCCGTGTGTGCACACGTGTGTGTACATTCATGTGTGCACGTGTGTGCTAACCGCCACAGCTGCTCAGGTCAGATGCCTGGGTCTGTCTTCTTCCCCATGTATTTCTGCCCTCATGGAGCCCATGTGCCGCACACATGCACACGTGGACTGTGGTGTGTCTGCTGTGGGAGGGGCTGAGCAGAATAGAAGCAGGGGTGCTCTGCCGCAGAGTGCTGAGGGGTCCCCTGTGGGATCCCCGTGGGGCAGGCTCCGGGCTTCCCGTGGGGTCTTCCCTGGGGGTGTTGGGAGGGTCAGCTGGGAGAGCCTGAGGGCTCCAGGGCTCAGCGGGTGGGGGTGGGGCTGCCACACACCAGAGCTCTGGGCTCCCACCAGTGGTGAGCAGATGGGGGAAAGGTGGCTTAGTGAGACCCCTGGGTCCTCACATGTAAGCTCCAGACCCAAAGGAGGGGCCCTCTCCACCCTCCACACACCACCACGCCAGGGGAAGGCCTGGCCCTCTCCACCCTCCACACACCACCA